GCCCCTATTTGATAGCTATTCTTCAAAAAAGAAAAAAAAAATGTTTTGAATAGTGTTTTTCAGAAGAATGTGTGGTTAAACAAAAAAAAATTTTGAATTTACATACACAATATTTTGTTTTGTGAATGTGTGATTTAAAATATGTAGAAGAAAGAGTTTTAAAAGTATGAGAATCAAACATAGGCTTGATCTGCCACAACAATTATTTCACCAATTGTGTGCTTCTTTTGTTCGAATCCCACCACCCCCCTCCCCCAAAAAAATTGCACCCCCCTTCTCCTAAACGATACTCTAATCCAAGTTACAGTTATTATAAAGACTTCACTCTTACTACTTGAACTAGACCTTAATCTCAATATTATAGAAACTTGATTAAGAACTCTGATTACTAATGAAGTAAAATTTAATACTATTAATGGACAAGATTGAACAATCATAGAGACAAAATCAATTGACAAAGAAGCAACGGCACTTGGGAGTTACTGTTCTTCCGGGAATGACTAGCCCTTACAATGGATAAAACTTGGAACTTATTTTTCTCAACTAATACAGTTGAGTACAATATTTAAGTATTGAATGTACGTCTAAAAAGTTACAAAAAAGTGGACGAATCAGTCCTCAAGATGGCTGGAAAAGAACCCCGAAAACGATACAAGAGCAATAATACATAAAAATACTATTCCGTCAACCATGGCTCTAGAACTGGTGTCCATTCGCATAGTTCTCCCTCTTTGAACCAGAGTGCTGCAAACAACCAAAAAAATGCGAATTAGATCATGTTTGGCCAAGCTTAAAAATGTCTGCTTATGAGTAAATAAGTAAGATTTGAAATAAATGATTCTTTTATTGGTCATAGTTGGAAGTAACAGCAACACAGTGTTACCTTCAAATAAGTATAATGACAAGTGCAACCATTGGACAACTCTTGCTGACCAAGACTACAATTAAAATGTTTGGGAAGTGATTACACTTCTGGCATCACATTTTATCCAAAGATTTCATAGGATCCACAACTTATAATCACTTAAATTTTAATTTAATAATTTCCCAAATACGCATTAAACAAATTATGGTACAAGATAGAAATCCCAAAGCATATTCTGCAATGAATCGGTCATCTTCTTACCAGAAATGGATAAAACTTCCCCTTCTAGTCTCCAGTAACATCCACGGGTAATGAAATAAATTTCAACCTCTCTTTTAGGGCCAGACATGTTTTTGCAAATAAGAAATGACTTTTAGGCTAAAAATTTGATCAATCCAAGTGGGATTAATTTATGATGAAGTTACAAAGAGGTCTTGAGCAGATTGGTTACGGGTGAACAGTAGATCTATTTTTCGATTTTATGCAAACATTGCCACAACAAACTAAGGCTTTATTCCCAATAAATTTGGAGTCGGCTATTCTGTGCAAACATATGAACCTTAAATTAGTTTCGGTTTAAGTGGTATCGTTGAATATCTTGAAATTGACTAACAAAACATTACAAAACTAATATGCACAATGAACAAGATTTAAAAAACAGAATGCAAATTTTACCTATTTCACGCTTGCCATTCTCAGGACTGTCACTGCCATGAACGACATTCCTGCAATGAGATAGAATACAATCTTGAGCGTAAATAATTTGAACGATGTCGAAACGATAGAATAATAATCCTCATATATGTTCTGTCAGGATGGAAAGTGCGACGAGTTAAAATCTAGTGTCCTGACCTTCCAG